AGATCTGCTTGACTCACTTCTTCACCTCCCTCAAATCTTTGCCCAGTCTCACTTTCTCAGTAAGGCTTACTCTGAGCAGCCTGTTAGGCATTGCAATTGCCCCCAATCCTCCGGAACCTCCTAACCTTGATGTTTATTCCCCTCATGGCATTAAATGTCCTTGACATATTATATGGTTTTGTTATTTGTTGTATTTATGGCTTATTGTCTGTCTCCCTCTGCTAGAATGTAATTTCCATAAAGGCAGGGATCTTTGTTTCAGGGACTAGTTTATCCCAGGCCCCTAGAACAGTGCCTGATTTGTTGCATAAATGAATCAACTTTATCAATATTCTATGTCCATGCTTTCTCTTGTTCTCTTTTATCCCACTCTTTTTCTTTTCCCTTCCTTAATTGTTGACAGAGCGTGATTCCAAACCATTTACTTTATTCCTAACTTGTATTTCACTTTACTTTTCAAATTCATTTTCACTGCAGCCAGATCTTATGTGCATGGCCTGCTCTCCCCCCAAGGGTCTTGTTGGTTGTACATATATTGTTCCTCCTGCCTGAAAAAGCCAGAATTGATGTCTGAATAACATATCATGGGTCTTTGGAACATTTAAGAGCTACAAGCCAGGTAAATAATAGCTCGGATCAAATGTATTGAAAAGCTCTTCCATATATTGACTTTTTTATCTGGGTGCTGGTTATTTTTTCTCTAGGGTAATAGTCAGATAGTGCTTTTTAAAGCAACTTCCTGCCATCACAAATTCCTTTGTAGAACTGATTTTCCATGCAAGGGTAGAATGCAAGGCTAATATTACTTGGCTTATACCCTACTCTTTTCCTTGCTACTTTTAATAGATGAGCAGGCCCAGCAGTAGTGCGAGTTCATCAAAAGGTCTATAAATTATATTCAGATATTTTGGGGTCAGCAAAACCCAACGTGTGGTTTACTCAAGTGTTTTTACCCCTAATCCTTAAATCCATAGATATTTCAAAGTAAACTTCATTCATGTGTTTCCCATTCATTTGCCCTTAGCGCTTCGTAGATGGGGGAGGGGTGGAGACAGGCAGAAAGGTATTGTCCTAGGAACTGGCTTCCTTCTTCACTACCACAGACAGATCATTCATTAGCCACAGACCTAACTCCTTGGCAGAAGTCCATCCCTATATCCTTTCCAGTTCCCTTTTAATTGAAGCTCCAACCTCAGCAAGCATCAGTGATGGCTGCCAAAGAAAGTGAAGTGGAAAAAAGCTGCATTTTCTATCACAGAGGCACAGAATTCCAGAATCTTAGACTTGGGAAAGTGACTGTAAAGATCATCTGGTCCATACTGCATGTGATATTTAAATCACTTGAACAATATCCTGGCAGATTCAGCCTCTGCTTGAGCATCTCCGGTGATGAAACTTCAACAATGGACCAAGACCCTGGGGTCTTCAGCTTAGGAAAAACTCTCATAAGGTACTCAGTTCTTTTCAAGTACCAATCTGCCCAGTCCCTTCATCCATTATTCAAGATTGAAACACCAGTCCTGTCTGTTCTCCTCATGTTCTCTTTCATGAGGATCTCACTGTCCCTCATGACTTCAGTCTGTGCCCTACATGGATTGTTCCCAAGTCTGTACTTCCTGGTCCAACTTCTCATTGGAAATGACACTCTGCATTTGACATGAGGACCTTGAGAAAAACGTATTAATATATTATGTTAAACCAATAAATATGTTGAAACAACCTCATGTAACCCTTCCTTTAAATCTTGTAATGCATCTTGCATTGCCTTCTCAACAATGGCAAGATGCATCTAAAATTCCTCTTTCTACCACACCCACCACACAAGGTTGGCAAGCTGTGTCATCCGTACCTCCAAAGTAGCTGCCAAGTCTGCTCTAGCCTCCTCGCCTCCACCTTCCTTCCTTTAGTTCAAGGCATCATCATCTCAGCTGAACTGAGGCATCGAGCTCAATTCATCTCTCTGCCTCCCCACTGTCTCCTCCCCATACCTCTCTCCATATTGTTAATTTTCTAGAAGGACTGAGCTTCTGCAGCCCCTTTATACATTTCCTTCTCAGACATCTCCTATGAGTGAAGTGGTCCAGAGGCTACTCGGCATCTGTGTGGGTCTTCCGACTGCACTTGTAACGCTTGTCCCTGCACCTGTGGTTTCTCTCATCACATTGTGTAATTACTGTTCACTTAGTTGTTTACTCCTCCAATGAGCTATGAGGCCAAAAGGTCAGCAGCTTTTTTATTTCATCCTTTCCTCCAAAATCTAGCGTAGGCTCTGAGGTGAAGGGCACACTCAGTAACTAAGGTTTATTGAGGTACACAAGCCCTTTATCACGCTGTCTTCCCTGACCAGGCTTCCGCTTGTCTACACTTGTTTTGACAGTTTTATACAAGTGGGCAAGTGCTTGCGTGTGAGTCCTTGTTTAGTAGCGTTGTCCGTGCTTCCGTTAACTTTTTTGGTAGCTTCACTGCTGTTGTTGTTGTTTAGTCCCTAAGTCGTTTCCCACCGTTTTGTAGCCCCATGGATTATAACCTGCCGGGCTCCTCTGTCCATGGGATTTCCCAGGCAGGTACTGGAGTAGGTTGCCATTTCCTCCTCCAGGGGACCTTCCCGACCCAGGGATCAAACCTTCATTGGCAGGTGGCTTCTTTTCCGCTGAGCTACCAGAGAAGCCCAGTTTCACTGTATACTCTACACTAAAACTTCCACATCATTCTTACCTGACTTCTATGTGATTGAGCTAAGATTTAAAGTTATTATTTTTAAATGCAGTGTGACTGTAGGATAGGGGAGGCTACAGGGCTAAGAACTTGAGGATCATTGAGTGGACATAGTGGGAGTTAATAAAATGATGGAATCTTCCTTCTGAGTTGCAGTGCCTAAGTTTGTGCCATTGTATTGAAGCTGCCTTGGAGACAACACTCTGAGTAAAGTCAGTAACAAAGCAATTGATTTTTCAGAGCAGTAAATTGTAACCGCATTATAACTGTGCTTGGATAGAATGGTTGATTCCCAAGGTCAAGACAGGTATTTAAATGAAACTGCCATACCTGTGGCAGAATGAAAGAGCAGGCCGCAGTAACTGTTACTGAAATTGATGTCCACTTGTCCAAGCTCACCCTGCTGGTGAGTGGACTAGCTGAGGGTAGAATGCTGAGCTGCCTGACCCCATGGCACTTCCTGGCCCCAGAGCCTCTCCGCATGGAGCGTCAACATCAAGTTAAAGAGATGCCTTTCAACATGCATTGTCATTATAGCTCACAAACATCAGGACTGGTAAACATATCTGGCATTTTAAATTATTTTCCTTTTCACCCGAACAAGAGTGATTTTTTTTTCCCCATTGTTCTGCCATATCCATATTCAGAGAAGAAGCTTGTAATTAATGATCCAATTAAGGTATGTTTTAACCCAAGTGTAAAGATTAGCCCTGGTTGGTGGAAATGTTTCCTTTTAATGCAAACTTTTTCATCCTTATCAAATACATTAATTCATGTGACCTGGTAATAGATCTAATTATCTTATATGTCCAAGTGCTGCTGTTCACATTGGCACTATCTATGTATGTGGGGTGAAAAGATTGATAAACATATCTTTTATCAATCATTTTATCAATTCCTTTTATCAGCATTCCTTTTATCAACATTCCTTTTATCAATCCTTCTATCAATTCCTTTTATCAACTCTGAATATTCATTGGAAGGACTGATGCTGAAGCTGAAGCTCCAGTACTTTTGCCACCTGATGTGAGATGGCTAGATGGCATCACCAACTCAAAATGTCCGTTGAAATGTCAGTGATTGAGTCAATGATGCCATCCAACCATCTCATCCCCTGTCGTCCCCTTTTCCTCCTGCCCTCAGTCTTTCCCAAAATCAGGGTCTTTTCCAGTGAGTTGGCTCTTCACATCAGGTGGCCAAAGTATTGGAGCTTCAGCTTCAGCATCAGTCCTTCCAGTGAATATTCAGAGTTGATTTCCTTTAGGATGGACTGGTTTGATCTTCTTGCAGTAAAAGGGACTCTCAAGTGTCTTCTCCAAAACCACAGTTCAAAGGCATCAGTTCTTCAGCACTCAGCCTTCTCTATGGCCTAACTCTCACATCCATAGACAACTACTGGAAAAACCATAGCTTTGACTATGCAGACCTTTGTCTGTAAAGTGTCACTACGGTGTAGTGTACATAATTTAAGAGGCTAGTCAGAATAGAATTCTCTGCTCAACAGTCTGTCTATATTTCTCTGCTGAGTTCCACTAGTAGGGAATGTTTAACTTATTGTGGGAATTCATAAGATGGTAGCCATAGAAGTAAAGAGCCCCAGTTCCTACCACACAGTAGGCCAAACAAATGCAAGTCCTCTAACATAGGATGGAGGATAAAGAAGATGTGGTACACATACGTAATGGAATATTACTCAGCCATGAAGAGGAACAAAATTTGGTCATCTGTAGTGATGTGAATGAACCTAGAGCCTATCATACAGAGTGAAATAAGTTGGAAAGCTATTCTTTATTAATGCATCTATATGGAATCTAGAAAAATGGTGCTGATGAGCCTATTTTCAGGGCCAGAAAAGAGATGCAGAAGTAGAGAGCAGACTTGTGGACGTAGTGGGGGAAGGAGAGGGTGGGACAGATTGAGAGAGATACATTACCACATGTGAAATAGATGGCTGGCAGGAAGTTCTGCAGGGCACAGGGAGCTCAGTGTGGTGCTCTGTGATGACCTTGAGGGGAAGGATGAGGGGCATGTAGAGTGAGTAGCCATTCCCTTCTCCAGGGTATCTTCCTGACACAGGGCTTGAACCCGGGTCTCCTGCATTGCAGGCAGATTCTTGATGACTGAGCCACAAGGGAAGTCCGGTGGAATGGGAGGAAGGCTCAAAGGGGAGGGGACGTATGTATACGTGTAGCAATTCACATTGTAAAGCAATTATGCTCCAATTAAAAAATAAAACAGGATGGGATAAGATAAAATATTAAAATGAAAATATTCTTTAGCTAATGATCTTAATTCACTATCAAATGCTAAGTAACAAGTTAGTGTCAAGCTTTATCTAAAACTTCCAGGGAAAGTGCCTGGGTGGAAATCTTGTATTTATAGCAACACAGAATTTGTATATACTCCTAACCTAAAAAGTTAATGATATGTCTTAATAGCTCCTCCAAAATGTAAAATATTTATCTTTGGACATAGACTTCAGGTCTTCTTTCTTTATTTTAAAGCATGTGCCCTCTGTTGCACTTCTTGAAAAGAACTTTGCTGAAACTCAGAATGTGACTGCTAATATTCACACATATGGCAAATATGAACTCATCAGACCACAGCTATTTTGCTGCATTCCACGGTGTCTCATTTATTTGTTTAATTTGCAGCTATAGCAACTAGATTCCACCACTTCAGGCTCTCACACAGACCTCCAGTCTGATCAGCTTGGTCAAAGTTTGGCACTCAGCACTGTACTCAATTGAAGACATATGCACAGACTCACTTACCACATTTTTTAACCCGGTTTTCACACTGGGTAATGTGTAATCTTTGCATAAAAATATGAAAAGCCACCGTCTGCACAGATAGTAGGCAATTAAAAGATGCTGCGACCTTCTTTTCTGTAACATTTCAAATCTTAAAGTTTTCTTGGCACACACTTCCGAAGCCCGTCTGACTGGGAAGCAGGCTGCCTCTCCACAGAAGGCTCGCTCCAGCAATGACTAATGGATTGACCTGGTGCCACGCGAGTGTAGCTCCACGCATGCTGCTCTGCACAAGACAGGCATTTGGAAATGACCTTGAAACGAAGTTTTGCCAAGTTAGTGAAATATGGGCCTTCAAGGAGTGCCATTTCACCAGCCATTTCCAGAAGGGTCTTCACTGCATTGTCAAAACCTGGCCCTTTCACTTGGTATTGGTTTACCCTGAGTGTTTAAGGAATAATACTCCCTCTTGATTTTATTAGTTGCAGTTTGTAACAGGTTGGAAAAATTAGGTAATGTTGAGAATCAGCTTCCCACTGTTGTTTTTCTTAGGTGTTTTTTTTTTTTTCTTTTAAACACTTGCTGAAGGAAAGGAGATGCTCAAAAGGTCCAATTTTAAGTGGGGAGATGGGAGCTTAAAATGGAGGGTAACCTGCAAACAAGGGTGAGGATGCAGGTGGTGGATTGAGAAAAGACAGTAGGAAGAAGTAACTGTGTGCTTGAAAACTGCACAGTTGATAGGATTTCATTTCATTGCATTCAGAGTCCAGACAGGGAGTGTTTCTCTGATCTCAGTGCACATCCATATAGTCATCTGTTGTAGTTGTTTGAAAATGTCCCTGATGCTGACATCAGTTGTTACTATATGGTTTCTGTTTTACTGAATGATCTGTTTATCTTAGTGCCCAGTGTCTCTAGATGGCGCTTCTCATGCTGGTGCAGTTGGCTGACATTTCAGATCTGGAAAATGAAGCTGTGCTTTCACCTTATTTGGAAGTCAGTGATCAAGCTGCTCTATGGGTACAACTTGGAAAGGTCCCCTTCAGCTTCTCCTCTTGTGACCTCACTTCAGCGAGGGACAGTTGTGACGGTCGAAAGGCAGGGCAGTCAAGATGGGCTGTTGGAAGGGCATTGGGGAACAAGTCATTTCTCTTAATGCATTGTTAATTAATTCTCTTAATTCTTCATGACTTCTCTGAAGCCAGCTCTCAGACTTTCATGCAAAATCAGATTCTACACTTCTATGAAAAAAAAAAAGAAAAAAGAAAAAAAGACTATCAATTCAACTCCTTAGAATGCTTGGAGGAGACTGTAAAAAACCTCTGGCCAGTCTCATTTTTACAATGCTGCTAATCCTCACTAAGTAATCCTGGGAAACATACATCTATAAGATCAGGGCAACATACTGTCAACAGCAACTTCCCAGAACATTCCTTCTTACTTCATCTGGGATTTTTCAATAAGTAATTGGATATTTCTGCAAGTGTAAACTGGAATCACTAAAATGAAGGCATTTTTTCCTTATAAGCTCAAACCTTCCAGACTCATCATTTTGTAGAGTTACATAAGTAAGCCATGCAACTGAGCTAAAAGTAAATTATAGAATATAACAGTTTGCAACATATCTTATACAGCAACTAATGTTAAAACCAGAAATATATTTGCAAAACAGTTTTTGCATTTCAGTTTATATTGAAATCAATGTTTGGTGATTTTTTCGTTAGATTTTGCTTAGTGTCGTATGCTAAATTATTTGCTTGTGAATTTTTTTTCTCCCCAGTTGCCTGTATTTGGAAAATTCGCTTGAAAAGTTCTGGCATAGGAAACTTAGAAAGATTCCATTATCTTATCCTGTTTTCTTTATCTGTCTGTATTTAGAATAGTTTGCTTTAAATTGCAGCTACTACACTTTTTTTTTTCACTTTTAAAAGTTTTTAAATAAAGAATATCATTTTCCAAATAGCCCTTACCCTTATGCTGTCTCATATTAACATGACTGATTTTTAATATGCTTCCTAAAGCATCTCTCAAACTTCTTACATAAAGTAGGGATGACAAAAATGAATAAAGGACTGAAGGAGGAATGATGAAAGGGAAGAGCAGCAGGAAACAACAAATGTAAGAACACTGTGACTTCTGGCATTCAGCATCATAGATCGTAGACCATAGGGACAGAGAGTCAGAATTAAAAAGAGAAGGTCAAGGCCAAAGAGCTTTTGACCCCTAAGAAATCTTGTGTCCCTGTTGTCTTGCTAAATTCAGCACGCAGCTCTGCCGTTCTCCTCCTGATGATATTTTTCATTTATCTTTTCAGTAAACATTTTAGATCTGAGGAAGTAGGAGCTTATCATTATTCAATATAGTCAGACAATACCTTCACCTTTAAGCTATATTCACAATCTCACCATCCTATTTTTTAGCATCAAATGAGATTATTTATGTGTATGTGAATAGCATATAATGCGTTTTCTTATGAAAAATCTATTGATTTATTCTGCATTCTCTCATAGCTCCCTTCAGTTGAACAGGGGCCTTTGCTCCAAAGGTAGGGACTTTCATAACCTTTATTCTAACGTGATGGCGCTTTGTCCTCTGTGTTTATTGCACAAAGAGAAAAAACGAGCACTTTGTGCTCATTGCAAAATCTCTCTCAAATATTTTTGGTGTACCTTCATGTATATTTATACTAGGATACATGGTTGAAAGAACTATGATCCTGTGTTGGTCAGGCTTCTTCAGAGACACAGAATCAACAGGATGTGTGTATGTAATAAGGAGGACTTCTCTGTAGCTCAGTGGTGAAGAATTCATCTGCAATGCAGGAGACGTAGGTTCGATCCCTGGGTCGGGAAGACCCCCTGGAGAAGGAAATGGCAACCCATTCCACAACTCTTGCCTGTGAAATCCTGTGGGCAGATGAGCCTGGTGGGCTACAGTCCATGGGGTCGCAAAAGAGTCGGATACAACTTGGCAACTAAAATAGCAACAACAATGTAATAAGGAATTGGCTCGCGCAACTTTGGAGGGTGAGGAGTCCCAAGATCTGAGGTCAACAAGCTGGAAACCCAGGAGAGCTAGTCATTTATTAGTAATTTCAGTCCAAATCCAGAGGCTTGAGAACCCGAAAAGCAGATGGTGTAGGTTCTAGTCCGAGTCCAAAGGCAAGAGAAGACCAAGGTCCCAGCCAGAAGACAGATAGGCAGAGAGCACAAATTCTCCCCTATTCAGCCTTTTATTCTGTGCATGTGTGCATGCTCAGTCATATCTATCTCTTTGAGACCCCACGGACTGTAGCCTGCCAGGCCATTTGGGCCTTCAGTGGATTTGGATGAGGCCCACCCCCACTGGGGAGGGTAATCTGCTTTACTCAGCCTTCTGGTGTTAATTTCATCGAGAAACATCCTCCAGACACAGAAAAATGTTTAACTAAATACCTGAACACCCTGTGATCCAGTCAAGTCAACCCATGAAGTTAACCATTACAGATCCCCACTGAAAATTCCTTTTCCCTTTAGAAACAACTCCAAGTGTAGAGGTCTGAGTAATGCTTCCTTCTTTCCATGCATCAAAATTGCATTAAAGTTGGTCAACCAGGTTGGCTCAGATCTCAGGCTCAGAGAGCAACCAATCAATGTTGATTGATTCAGTCTGCAGTGGGACATGTGCACCATCTGTATTTTTTTTTTTTTTTTGATGCACCTTCACGTGGTTTTGCGGAGAAGGCAATGGCAACCCACTCCAATGTTTTTGCCTGGAAAATCCCAGGGACGGGGGGAGCCTTGGTGGGCTGCCGTCTATGGGGTCGCACAGAGTCAGACACGACTGAAGCGACTTAGCAGCAGCAGCAGCACATGGTTTTGAGGCACAGCCAAGTTTGAGAACCCTTGAATCCATGGGTCTCTAGGCTTTTTGGGGGCTTGATGAAAGTAGCTGATGGAAGAACATGAAGACAAACGTCACCGTGATGATGACTGGAGCTGAGCTGAGTAGAGGGCATGGCAAAGAGACAAACCTGGGTAAATGTGCATAACTGGATCAACTTAACCATTATGGATTGGTCACAAGGTGCCTTGGTTGGCACCACCCCAAGATTCTAAGAAAAATGAACCAATATTAACGTTACTTAAAAGATTAAAAGCATAATACATGTCAATTATCATTAATCCTTGAAAATATTTATGGAGTTAAATGGTCTGTAACTAATTAGAAATGGCAGTTAACGGGGGATATTAGTTTCCTTTGAATTTTATGAAACAAAATATAAATCTTTTTATATAACTCTATTTCCTACAAAATGGATTTTTACTTGTCAGTGGGATTTTTTTTAAGTTTTATTTTATTCTCTTGGATTTCACTCCTTTCCCATAAATCCTACAAGGAGAATTACAATGAGGTGAGTCACACTGTCTTAACACTTTTTTTGGAGCTTCTGCCAATGCAGCTTGGAATATGGGAATTTTTTTTAGAGTTGTGTTTGGGAAACATGGAAAAAGTAAGGGAGGGATGGAGGGAGGGAGGAGAAAAAGAAGGAAAGGTACAAAATACTTCATTTTAGATTATGTTTTTTTTAACTTCATGGCATTATACAGGTGAAACTTTCATAATATCTATCAGACCACCTGAAGTACAATTGGGTTTGGGTTTCAGAAGTTTATTCATGAGCTAGTCATTTGGAACTGGGAACATATTTTCACATGAAGATTTTGTTCTGTAAGTGGTAATTCATTTTTGTAGCTAGCTCATAAACTCTCCTCGTTCTGTTTGAAAACTGATTGATTGTGCATTCCCAGTAATAAATAGCTATACTGTTGGAAACATGTACAGCTAAAGAACTTAAAAGCAATGAAATCAATTGCCTTTGCTTTTCACTTGAATGTTGATTGATGCTAGAGGGAAAACAGGTTTAGCTGGAGGAGCAAGAGCATGTTCAGAACCTTTAACATGGATATTTGAGAGCAAGTCAAAGGAGCAGAAATCATTCTCTCTTGAGGGTCTCTGCAGCCACACATATGCCACCAAAACCCAACACGTTAGACCTTATTAGTAAATTGTCACTGAAAACGCCTTCTTTCTTTCCTGCAGCAAATATTGAAAGTGAAAATCGCTCAGTCGTATCCGACTCTGTGATCCCATGGACTGTACAGTCCATGGAATTCTCCAGGCCAGAATACTGGAGGGGGTAGTCTTTCCCTTCTCCAGGGGATCTTCCCAACCTAGGGATCGAACCCAGGTCTCCCACATTGCAGGCGGATTCTTTACCAGCTGAGCCATAAAGGAAGTCCAGGAATACTTGGGAGTGGGTAGCCTATCTCTTCGCCAGGGGATATTCCTGACCCAGGAATCTAACTGGGATCTCCTGCCTTGCAGGTGAATACTTTACCAACTAAGCTATCAGAAAGTGAAAAGTGAAGTTGCTCAGTCCTGTCTGACATTTTGCGACCCCATGGACTGTAGCCTACCAAGCTCCTCACCCCGTGGAATTTTCCAGGCAAGAGTACTGGAGTGGGTTGCCATTTCCTTCTCCAGGGGATCTTCCTGACCCAGGGATTGAACCCAGGTATCCTGCATTGCAGGCAGACACTTTACCGTCTCAGCCACCAGGGAAGTTAAGCTATCAGGGAAGCAGCAAATACTAGTGGACTGCATACTTGTGTGTACTTAAATACTTACCACTTGTGCCAGAAGAAGAAACAGCAAGTGCCTGTTTTCTTGTGGAGCTTGTAATCTATTAGGAGAGACAGATAATTTTTCAAATAGATGACTTTTGATTCACCTGTTTTTATGAAGATTTATATATGAGCTTTGAAGTCTATACATATTTATAAGGAATGATGACTCATATAGGGTATACCTGTAGAGGGGGTGGGGAACATAAATCTTTGTCACATACTTGCCATGGACCAGCCACTTACTGGCGCTGTCTCATCTAGAGTGACCCTGAAGGGCAGGGATCATTATCACCATCTCTGAGATTCAGAGAAGCTAATGTGTCAAGGAGGGTAGGACGCGCTGCAGCTGAGCCTGGATGCAAACCAAGTGTGTCTGACTGCAGGCACTTTATATCAGTCTCAGCTGCCTGTTCTGCAGAATGACTCTGGAGATATTTCCTATTCAACTCAGTATTTTTTATATAGGTATCCCTGCAATAATCTCCCTCCTAGAATTTAATAATGGAAACAGTGCTGTCTGTCCTGGTGCTTTTCATTAATGTGAGCCATTTCTGCTTCTCTGATGCGACACTTTGTGTTCTCATGCCCTAGCCAGCTCACCTGTGGCTTCCAGGATGGTTTTCTCTCTTTTCCCACTGTATTTTTGTCTCATTCTTTATCGTGTGTGGATTTCCACCACCCTGAGTGTTTCATTGCAAGCTGCCTTGTCCTTTTGAGAAACACAAAATGAAAAGAAATAGTTATGACTTCTGTAATTCCTCAGTGCTCTTTTTTCTTTTCTTTTCTTTTTATTTTTTGGTATCCTCTACATGACTTGGAATAGGGCCTTGCACTTAGGAGTGAGAAATAAGTGTTGATTCATTGTTAACTGATCATAGCAATTCCTAAGGACAGCTCTGGCTATTTTAAAGAGGTTGAAGAAGTTGATGGCTGTGGCCATACATGTTAACTTTTCTTAATAGAGACTTGTCTCTGCATTGTCTTGTGTTTGTCACTCATAAATGTAATATAAAGGACAATGATCACAGCCAGCGTTCACCCCACTCCTACTGTGCGAAGCACTTTATAGATATTGTCTACTCAATCCTCCCAACTTTATCATTATTCCCGTTTTATAGAAGGAGAAACTGAGGACTATAGAATTTAAATGGGTAACAGGGAAATAACCTTTCTCCTGATAATTTAGCAAGAGATGGGAGAAAAGAATGGGGAAGAAGAAAGGATTATATAAGAGAAATGTCAGTGAATTGCTTCAGATATGATCAGTCAGGGGCTTCCCAGGCAGTGCTGGTATTAAAGAGCCCACCTGCTGATGCAGGTGGACTGAAGAGATATAGGTTTGATCCCTGGGTTGGGAAGATCCCCTGGAGGAGGGCATGGCAACCCATGCAACCCATGGCAACCCACTCCAGTATTCCTGCCTGGAGAATGGACAGAGGAGCCTGGTGGGCTACTGTTCATAGGCCCGCAAAGAGTCAGACACGACAGAGGTGACTTAGCATGCTCGCGTGACCAGTCAGATGTAGAAGGCCGGGAAGAAATGTAAGTGATTTAGAAGAGAATTATTCTTACCACCCATCACATGCTCTGTTAACCCTGGGGGAGGAAGAAGTCACATGCAGATGGCTGTTTTTACATACGAGACACTCTCTTCTCAGGAGATCATAACTTGGTGGAATGCTGATCTTAGAAATTTCTTTTATCCACTTATTTATTTGGATGGCTTCAAGTTATGTAGTTTAATGTAGGGACAGAAACCGTAAGGTCTTTTGTATCCTTCTGGGCTGGTCCTTGCTTTTCTATGGGCCCCAGGTCTGCTGTCACCTCAGGATCCCAGGAGAAACTGAATGTGTGCTTGATCTCTTTATCTCCTGGGTAGTGACCCCAAGACTCTTGCAGTCATTCTTGCCCCCGGAGCAGCAGCTCAGATCCTCAAGGACCTCTGTGGAGCTTCAGAGCAGAAGGACAAAGAAACACTGGAAAGAGGGAGAGGCAGGATTATTGGGCCTTCCTCAGGGAATGAGGAGAAGTCAGAGGTGAACCCATTCATGAGTATTTGCTCAACACTCTGTTGCCTGGGACTGTCCTGAGCACTGATTTTGTTCTTCTTGAGAAAGAATGCAGCCAATCATGGGAAAAAAACTGAAGCTCCAAGAAAGGATGGAGAATGAGAGATCCAGGGACCACTTTTCAGGAGCTGACATTGAAAGTAGATGCCATGATTCGGGGAAAATTTCCTTTCATGCTGAGCTTCAGGAACTCAAAGTAATTGGATGTGTCTGAAAGTGATGTCAAAAATATGGGCATAACTGGAGCTTTGGTTAGAGAAATAAGCAGGGACTCGGATGTAGGTAAACCCTCCATACCAAACACTAGTTTTGGTTTTATCTCTTAGGAAACAAGAAGCAGGGCAAAGTTTTACATGAGGAAAATGATTTGGTTTACACATTGGAAAGATGAGAAAAGAAAGGAAGGGTGTCTGATCTAGAGGAACAGCAGAGGCAGGAAATGCCACGTTATATTGATACATGCAGAGTCATCTGACTGCAGAAAAGGTGCAAGGAGTTCACCCAGGGCCAAGCCAGAAACACCAGCTGCCCTGGCCTAGGAGACTGAACTTGGTCCTAGTGGCTTTGGGGAGTGACTGAAGGATTTCAGAGGGAAAGTGGAGTCAGGGAGTTGCTTCCTTCTTTGGGGTTGGGGGAGAAGAATTGATCGGGACAGCCTGCATTTAGGAGGTGAGAAGAGAGAGTGGAGCTTTGACCAATGCCCACCCCATACTGGGGAAAAACTGAGAAGGCACCATCACAGAGGTGGAGGGAGAGTTCTGGGAGAAGGTGGAGATGAAGAACCAAGAGAGGCAAGCACTTCCAGGATGTTTCCGGGCACTTCCAGGGATGATAGGTGGACAGCATCCTGGGCCACATGGAGGTCTCATCAGACAAGGACAGCAACCACACAGGTGCTGACAGTGGCAAAACAATCACGAGGGGACAAAGGATGAAGATAAGAGGAGCCTGCCTGAAATGAAAAAAGCAATAAACATTTTTTATCCATGTAGCATTTCTTTAGGTGAGGGAAGCTGGATCACATTGTCTTCCTCTTGAGCCAGAAATAAGAGCAGATCAGCCTTTGAGCAGGTAATTTTTCCATTCCTGGCCTCACCTTCTTGTGAGCCTCCACTTCCTCCAGGTGAAAGAGGTGCTATTTCTGACCCCACCGCAGGATCAGTTTTCCCAGCTAGAGGATGATGGCTTTTGGTGTCTTTGTCTACCACTTAATGTATTGTCATCCAGAGCGTTTTTTCTATATTGATCTCAATGTTAATCTATACATGCGTGCTAAGTCGCTTCAGTCATGTCCAACTCTTGGTGACCCTATGGATGCCTGCCAGGTTTCTCTGTCCATGGGATTCTCCAGGGAAGAATACTGGAGTGGGAAGCCATTTCCTCCTCTAGGGGATCTTCCCGAGTCACGGATCGAACCACGTCTCCTACGTCTCCTACGTCTCAAGCAGGTTCTTGACCACTAGCGCCACCTGGTATATACATAATAAGGTGTACAAAATATATACACATAATAAGAGTGAATCATAGGAGAATATGGGAACCTTTGATGAAAAGAATTTTCTAGTTTTGTGCACTTCTTGAGAGGTGGGGAAGAGAAACTTTAATCCTTCCCATTTGTGATGTTTCAGTTGTCAACACATCAGAAACCAGAAAAACAAAAACTTAATTTGATTAATTGGAAGGATGAATGATTTAGATTATATGTCTTTCTTTAAAATATTCTGAAATTTGACTCAGATATTTAAGAACCCTCAGAAATTTCCGTGGACAGAAGACTAGAGATAAGCCATTTGTTTCACTGAGAATTCAAAATGAGAAATGTATTTTGAAAAATAGGTAAAATTGGACCTGAATTGGAGACACAGTTTGCTGACCAGTGTCATTTGAAGACATTGAACTTGAGACTCCTTGCTTTGTCCATTTCTCAAGATAAATATGCAGTCATGAACCGGGATTTGTCTTCCTCTTGAGCCAGAAATAAGAGCAGATCAGCCTTTGAGCAGGTAATTTTTCCATTCCTGGCCTCACCTTCTTGTGAGCCTCCACTTCCTCCAGGTGAAAGAGGTGCTATTTCTGACCCCACCGCAGGATCAGTTTTCCCAGCTAGAGGATGATGGCTTTTGGTGTCTTTGTCTACCACTTAATGTATTGTCATCCAGAGCGTTTTTTCTATATTGATCTCAATGTTAATCTATACATGCGTGCTAAGTCGCTTCAGTCATGTCCAACTCTTGGTGACCCTATGGATGCCTGCCAGGTTTCTCTGTCCATGGGATTCTCCAGGGAAGAATACTGGAGTGGGAAGCCATTTCCTCCTCTAGGGGATCTTCCCGAGTCACGGATCGAACCACGTCTCCTACGTCTCCTACGTCTCAAGCAGGTTCTTGACCACTAGCGCCACCTGGTATATACATAATAAGGTGTACAAAATATATACACATAATAAGAGTGAATCGTAGGAGAATATGGGAACCTTTGATGAAAAGAATTTTCTAGTTTTGTGCACTTCTTGAGAGGTGGGGAAGAGAAACTTTAATCCTTCCCATTTGTGATGTTTCAGTTGTCAACACATCAGAAACCAGAAAAACAAAAACTTAATTTGATTAATTGGAAGGATGAATGATTTAGATTATATGTCTTTCTTTAAAATATTCTGAAATTTGACTCAGATATTTAAGAACCCTCAGAAATTTCCGTGGACAGAAGACTAGAGATAAGCCATTTGTTTCACTGAGAATTCAAAATGAGAAATGTATTTTGAAAAATAGGTAAAATTGGACCTGAATTGGAGACACAGTTTGCTGACCAGTGTCATTTGAAGACATTGAACTTGAGACTCCTTGCTTTGTCCATTTCTCAAGATAAATATGCAGTCATGAACCGGGAGGGGCATTTCAGGTTGCTGTGAAGTTGACATTAGCATGAGCTGAGCATACCCATGACATCCTTGGAGGTATGATAGTTCAGATGAGACATAAATGCTTTTCAGTTCTTTCTCATAATTTCCCTAATCTTTCTGGCAATAAAAGAAAAAAGAAAAAAACTTTCCAGGAGTATAAAATGTTATTGAATTTGCAGCCATTGTCATGGTTACCTGCATAGTTTCGTTGCTTTATTAATGTGTAATCCCCTTTATTTCTGGAAAGATCATTATCGTGAAACACAATAGTTTGCAGCCTCTTAGCAAGTTTCACCACATATCTCAGAGATTCTGACAGTGGCTCTGATGAATGTGTGTGTGGTTTCTGGGCCACCTGTGTGCTGTTGACTCAGTAACTAGGACATCATTGTTTAGGAAAAGACAACTTGAAGTTAATGACTCTGAGAATCCTTTGAAAGTTTAAATGCTTCCCTAAACAAAAGTGCTTATTTTTTCCTCAAGGAGAATGATCCAGGGCTTGAGTCTTTTTCTAACTAAAATAATTTAGTGTTTCTGACATTAAAACTTTTTAAAGTAATTATTATCACTTACTGAAGTCACTTGGAGGTTTCAGGAAATTTTTTTTCTGATAAATTCTTTAAAATACTATCTTTCCTAAATTAGTTTCTTACATCATAGAAGGGTTTTTGTGAGATGCTGTTAATAGAGGTGTTGAGTAAGATTTTCCAAGGATATTCTCCCACTACTTAAGTTGAAGCT